GACTTGTTGCTTTAGATATTTTGATGCATTCAAGTCTAAGCTCTATACACCCCAAAATAAAATACAATTACTTTAGTGTTATTTCTTTACTAAAAAAAAATCAAAGAAATGAAACGATTTCTTATTGGTTTAAATTTTCGATTTATTGCAGTCAGGTGAATCGTTCATACATGTATCTACATATTTATAATTTTAGCGGACCAGTGCAGATTTTCTGTTGATTGTAGCTCCGGTAGTAAAAAAGACTAAAGAAATTTTAAGTAAAGAAACTAGTGCTTAAGATCAATTAGGGAAAAAAACAAAATAAATAATAGGTAATAATAATGAATAAATATTGAATGTATTTAACACTGTACGCAACTATACCGAAATCGTAAGGTGTATTACACTAAACATTTTAAAAGACAGCGCAATGTACTGGGTGATCGCTTTTTTGTAACCACCTAAACATGGTCGGATTATCACGGACTTGCACCTTCTATGACTTTTATGTAATTATCTCGTAAATTATTATATGTACGTTGCTGAAATTCTACAGGTAGACAACTGAACTAAACAACTAATTATTGGCATAACATTCAGTTTATATATCCACACACAGGTTTATCGGTGGCCAAAAAAGGCCGCACACATTGTGATCGTGAACGTGGAGAGCTACATTTCATCATAACTTTTTAGTCACTTGTAGTATTCTTACCAAAATTCGTATACATTTGAAGGTAGTTACAAGCAAGAGAATAACGTTTGAAGTAAGTCTTTAGAGGTCTTATTTAAAGTGTTAGGACGTATTGAAGTGTTTTCATACTTACCTAAATAATTTTTAAACGGTCCATTATTTTTGTTATTTTATCGTCGAACAAATTAAAACTAATCCTTAAGAAGTTATGTACAAAAGATGGTTACAATCCGCTTACCCGTTTCAGAGATCCAGCAAACCCACAAACGTTACTCCAGCAGGATTTCGAATAACTTAGCAGCCGAAGAAAATACAAATACCAAATAAGTTGTAACATTTACCTAGTCCAGATAACTAATTATCTAGCTAAAATTTATTTCAATATTACAATTAAAAAAGAAAATGTCTGGCTGCGGTAACGTTTCAAACGTTACCCCAGCAGGAAATGTTTTTTTGAAATAACTAAAAAAGTTTAAGTGAAACAAATTTAAAAATGTGCCTAACAATTACAGAAGGGGAGCAACTAATTACCTATAAAGTTTAAATGACCATTTTCGACATTATTTTGCTGGGGTAACGCACACTCTGGCCAGCGTGGTATAGTAGGCCAAAACCTCCTTTCTAAGGAGAGGCCTATGTCCAGCAGTGGACTAGTATAATAGGCTGTTGATGTGAAATTAAATTAGCGCAAGGGCAATTTTTTTTACGCTTGGTAGAGGAAAAAATAATCATTTTTAAAGAGATATGGCTATTTTAAGTAGAGGAAAATTGAAAATTATATTTCTATTTTTCCTGGGAAAACGAAAAAGGGGCTTATAAATTAATTAACGTAGGTCGAAAGGGCTAATTGAGATCTATAAAATGAGATTTTTTTTATTTTGAAATTTTAATATCTGCAGGCTGGAACGTGCCCAGTGAGATATGTTCATAGTACAGATAAGACACCTCCTGAACAAACGTCATTTCATACGAGTTTGAGTCTTCATGACGATAATCCGCTAGGGGCGCTAGTGAGCTGAACGTAGGCCAGTGCACACCATCAAAATCGTCGTATCGATATCGATATAATAGTGATGCGAAAAGTCGGTTTCCCTCATTTGGAAATTACTTTTATTTTTTGATCTTCATTTTCAAGAAGGTACAAAAATTGAAACAACTTTTATTTTTTAATCTTATATTTCCTGCTTTTCATACACTTGTTGTAGGCTAATTTTTGAACTGTACTTAAATTTGCCAATTTTATCTTTCTTTGTACTGTTCCACCCAAAATTAAGTTGATGCCTCGGCACCAATTAAAAATTTTTAATCGTGTTACGATCTTAATAAAATGTTCTTTTAATAGATCTTTATGGAAAGAACAGCCCAACCATTCCAAATTTCTTTCTTCTAAATATTTTTGTCTGAGCCAGACAATAGTTTTTGCTCCAAAGTGTAACATCTGCTTTGTTTCTTTATGCCTATAGCACTCAACTGCATTGATATAAATTGCCTCTGCATAAAGCTAAACTTGTCAACCACTTTTTGAAAAGTCTTAGTCTCATTTAAAGCAGTAGCATCTTCAATGTTCTTTCTATTGTCACCTCCAAATAATCTTCTTGATTTAATAATCTGCTTACATTTTTTGTACAACTTGCGGCAATTAGGGGTCAAACATTTTACACTGATTGTTAGACGCATCTTTTTTGATTTTACACCTGAAACTTAAAGGATAAAGGGTTATTTTGTCCAAAATTTTTCAATACTGCTTTTAGACTATCTAGTTAGCTTTAATAGCTATATAATAGTTTTAAACTAGTGAATATTACATTTTTGTATTATGATATGGCTTTGGAAAAAACCACAAAGGGTTTTCAGTTGTACTCTTGAATGGAGTGTATAACTGTATCACATATACAGTTATTTGTAGTAGTAGTAGAAAACTTCCTAGTTCAAAATCTGCCTTAATACTAACCAAAGTTATTATACTGAGTTGAGTGAGTAAGTTATTGTCTTACCTCTTGTTGTAATATTTTCCTTCGATGTTGAGGGCAAGGCTTCAATTTGATCAACTGAGCCCAACCTTTCATTTGTTTCAAATTTAGGAACTTTTTTTGGCTGGGCACAAGTCGTATTCATTAATGGCCCCTTACAATAATTGTGATCTAATGTAGTAGTTAATTTGGCATATGTGTGATCACTTTCAACTGAAATTTAAAACAGCGAGGTATATTATTAAAATCATTCTGTAACATAACTAGAGCTCTTGGTAAATTGTAAACTACTTTTACACACAAACTTTAACACATCATAATAATTTAAATACAATAATCAATTATTTGAACCATTCACTAACCTTCTATATTCACAGGATTAGTTGGTATTCCTGTTGTTATTTCTTCTTCAGACATTAATGTAGGGCAAGCATTATATAGCCTTTTATTTCCAATAAGAAACTTTTGTTCAAAGTGCCTTATACAAATTTTTCTTTGTATCAATTGTTGCGGAGTTAGCTGCTTGACTTGTTGATAATGAGGTGCGACTTGTTTAAGCCATATTTGCTGTAATGTTTCATTTCGAGGGAATTGAAACAAAGTAACATCGTATTTCGTCTTCTGACACGAAGGTATACAGCATGAAATAAACGGCATTATTGAAATATTCTATAGAACAAATGCACTTATATAAGTAATCACAGTTTTAAATACTGGGAGAATAAGCTACGGAAATTAATCAACGCAAAACTTAACTCCATCAACTTCAAAACTGTAACGGACTATTTGACTTATGTATTTGTGACATATTCACATGACAGTTCTGTCATCGGCCCATATTAGCGCCCTCTGGTGGGGTTGCGTTATGAATACCTAAGCTCCTAGAGTCAAAAGCCAATGTATGAAGTGTCAACGCCGTGAAGGTATCGCTGTAGAAGTGTGCTTACTGTGGTACGTATTTTTATTCATTTATTTTTTCAATAATTATGTGTTATGTGCCGGCTTATTCTTAAGTTTCATGGGATCGCTTGTTTTTTTTGTAATACAGTAACTCCTACAAAAATTTACAAATAATTTAGTATAGTAGTAGTTTAACGCATACCCTCATCTGATTAATTTATGTGAAAAAAATATTTTCACATTAAATTAACTATCACAATGACCGAACGAGTTACGAAGAAAATATATTCAGAATAGATGGTGAGTTTATATTTAAAGTTATAATGTACAACATATGTACAACTAGAGTCTGGCTAACGAAAGTAGATACTGTTTTTTTTTTGCAAACTTTTTATATGACAACACTAAAGTGTTCCTACCATCGGATATTTACCCTACTAATTGGGGTATTTTAAGCAGAAAGTACTTAGGAACAATTAATTCCAAAAAGGCATTTTTAAAACAAACTTATTTTAAACATTTTATAAAATGAGTTTTAAAAATTCGTACGTGTGCTAAAATTGTATTCATCGAAAATAAGTATCGTAGTACGTGTTGGGGATCATTTTAAGAGCAACACTAAGCCTTAAGTTGGTCTAATAAATAGCTTAAATAATTAAGTACACTATTTACTAGAGAAAAACTTGGCAATTTTATTTTAAAGAAGTTAATTTTCGACGGTTTTCCGAAAGATTTGGAAAAATCAGAATCAGTGTATGGTATCCCTATCTCTGACGCAACAAGATGGCGAGTTGTTGATGTTTCGTTGTGGTTGACTTGCGTATAGTTTTATTGTGATATATCCGTGTTATTGCTATAAAAATGAATAAAACTATAAAGAGTGAAGTGCGAAAACTATTGTTTTGTATGATTTCGAAATATGAAGAGAAAAAGCTTGTGAAACAAGCCGTATTGCGAGAAAAACAGGATTGTTTACGTACTGTGACTGTTTTTTTAGGTTAGTACGGTCAAAATGACTTGATATTTTTTTTATTTTAAATAAGTACATATTAGTTTTAGTTACTTTATATAATGTTATTGTTCTTTTACAGATAGTCTTGAGGATAATGCACGAACTGCTGAAGTAAAACAAGCAATTAAAAAGATCACAGATTTAGATCAAAAAGAAATGATGAAATCGCAGAACCAGTACTTAGAAGAACTATCTTCACTCACCGGTAAGTTTTCACTCAACGTTAATCTTAGACTAGTTTTGTAATACTTGTATATTTTCTATTATTTCTTAGTTATGAGACTCACGATAATTGACATTTTATTTTATTCTTTTTACAGATGTAAGTGTTATTACATTGAAGAGAATTAAAAAAGAAGGTGCGGTGAACGAAGGGGTCTGGAGGACTCCAGGTAAAAAACGACCCCACCCTTCAAAAGTGTCGAACTTAGATAGTTATGATATGGATGTTATTCGAAATAAAATAAACGAATTTTACATTGTGAGGAAACAAGTACCAACATTAAGATCTTTGTTGGTAGAGTTAAAAGAAAGTATAGAATTTGGTGGATGTCGTGAAACTCTCCGTCGCATATTATTAGCCAACGGTTATGTATTTAAGAAAAACAAAAATGAACGTTCATTATTAATTGAACGGTATGATATAGCTGCATGGAGACATCGCTTTTTGCGTACCATTGCATCGAAGCGTGCAGAAGGCAAGCCAATAATCTACTTAGATGAAACTTATGTCCACAAAACCTATAAGCCTAAAAAATGTTGGCAAGGTCCATCAACAAGTGGAATAGTTGAAAATATATCGTCAGGAAAACGATATATTATTGTGCATGCAGGATCAGAGAAAGGCCCTGTTCCAAACTCATTGTTAGTATTTAGCACCAAATCGAAAATGGCCGACTACCACCATGACATGAATTCCACAAACTTCAACAAATGGCTTCAAGAAAAGCTTATGCCCAATTTGAATGAACCATATGTAATTGTAATGGACAATGCATCATACCATTCTGTCATAATAAATAAAGCGCCCACATCTCAAAATCGAAAGTTAGAGATACAGAATTGGCTTACATTGAATGGTATTTCATTTGAAACATACAATTCAAAAGCAGAGTTGCTCTGCTTAGTAAAACAGAACACACCAGAACCTATTTATGAAGCTGATGAACTTTTAAGCCTAAACGGACATGAAGTGCTAAGACTTCCTCCATATCATTGTGACCTAAATGCTATAGAACTCATATGGAGTCTAGCAAAAAGAAATGTGGGAAGCAAAAATGTAAGCCGAACTCCAAAAGAGTTCGAGGATCTCATAAAACAATCTTTTGAGTGTATTACAGCAGATGATTGGAAAAAAATGACAGACCATGTCATTCATGTGGAAGACAAGTACAAAAGAAGAGACAATATAACTGAAAATAATTTAGAAAGCTTCATCATCAATTTAAGAGACAGCAGCGACTCCAGTGATTCTGACGATTCACTTCATGTTGAATTTTTACATTCAGATTTTGATTATAGTGATTAAAAAACAGTATAAAAATATATAGTGTTGTTTTCTTTGATACATACTCACATAGATTTACAAATATTTAAACTCATGATAAAATTGATACTCATGATAGTGTTTGATAGCCTGTTTGTTCCTTTAATATGCCACAATGGAGTGACGTATCCGTGTGATGTTTGGTATGGAGTTAATAAAGAGTTAACAAGTGATATAAGCTACTTTTAATCTCGTCATAACGCGGACAAAATTGCAAGCATCCAAGCATCAAAGTGAGTTGTTCCAACTTTCCTTTTTACTTTAGGGCTGCCATGCTGATATTTTTTAAATTTGCCGCGCTTTTTCAGTATCAACTTTCATTAGCCAGACTCTAGCCATTGCCCACGCGAGGGGTCGCCACGTTGTTTCCTTTTATAAGGTATACTCACTATTTCTAGTTTTCTACAAAATAATTTTGATGTTTCACATCTGCCAGATCCAATTTTTTGAATTATATGATTTATAAATCGAATAAAGCACATAAGTACCATGGGTAGTGGCAGAAAGTATGTGGGTCGAAGCTTTTTAATGGTTCAAAATATTTATTTAAATCTAACTTCTAAATATAAAAGTAGGTCTATATCTACTCAATTAATGTTCAATATTTGTAGAGTGTAGGTATAAGTACGTATATAACTAATTAGATACCTAGCTCAGTTTATTTGTGTAGGTAGTTGAATAACCATAAACAAAATGTAGGATAAGTTTAAGATACAAGAAAAAAATATTTTACATAACTTACTTTGTAAAATGAAATAAAAGTTTTTATCTGATAAAGGAGGTCTTTGATTCTTGAGATTAGATTTATGTTCCCTAATTATTTTAAAATGTATTAAGTGTGTTAGCAGATGTTATTGTACAACATTTTAATTATTTTTTTGGAAAAATTATAGAAAAGCTGAAATCAATTTCACAAATTAAACCTTTGAATGAACAAACCAACAATAAATAGATGAAATCAGGAGTAGTTTTGGTGTGAAGTGCTCAGTTAAAGAATTTCTAGCTTTTCTTTTTTAAAAAAGGTTTAGGTCTCTTCTACTGGGATGGAGACTATTTTTTTATTTTATTTTTTGAAATGCAGTTAATAACTACAAATTGTATTGTTTGCAGATTTGGAGAGTATATCTTTGTTCAAAGATTAGAAAATATGTAATGTATAAATATGAATCACTGACAACTTGCTTTAAGATCTTCTGTAATTTACCATATTTCAAGCAAATAAAGAATCTATCTGTGTATCTATTGTCTAATGGAATAATATCAACAATTGAAAGCAATAACTGTAAGTAAAATATATTTTTATATTGAGTTTGCCATAGAGGATAGTTTGAAATAAAATAAAACATGTTGTTTGTTTGGAATGGCAAATATGGCAATGGCCTGCAGTAAAGTAACAGCAAGTCTGCTGGGGGTCATTCCTGAAGCAGGGGTTGGCGATTGCACTGTCTCCCACACTGAATAATTCCTGTGTCTTGGGCGACTTTACAAACATTGTGGATCACAAAAAGTGTTGTTCCATGTGGGGATCGAACCCACAACACTCAGCGTAGTAGGTAGAAGCGAGGTGACCGCTAAAACCACTACGCTATCCTTGCAGTCAACAATAATAATTTGAAAAATAATTTTAGAACAATATATTATACATAATCTGTCTAATCTCATTGTGACACTGTAAAGCTTTATAATTATTGTCTTTATTATTAGCTTTGTTTTTAGCTTTTAGTTACTGGTGTGCTGAGGTGTCGGGTTCGATTCCCGAGTTATTTGTTTGTTCTGCAAAAATGTCGGACTCGAACCGACTAAAAACCGCACGCCGTCTCGGGTACCAGTTGCCGGTGAAACAGGTATACCCTAGAAAGGAAATCCCTGATACCCCGACGTACCTCGGGACACCTACGGCGTGTAAATGACCCCCTGTTGTGTAGGAACCCCCATGTTCCTACCTAAAGATTTTTAGTCTTTGTGTATATGTAAAGCGACATCTTGGACGCTAACAAAGTATTTTTCAAGTTTTTTTTCAAATTAATTTTTACCTGAACATGTTGCGTCGTTGTTGATTGATTTAAAACTGAACTGAAAACTTCTTTAGCCGAGTTGAGCGAATTTTGGTAGGAGAAAAACTTATGAGAAGATGACACACCTTTGAAAAAGTTTCTACTTGCCACCATTATCAATAGACAAGTCATAAGATCCCAGGTGTCTATGGGTGTGGGTAGTCACTTACCATCAGGTGATCTGTCTGCTCGTTGGTCTTCCTGACCTATAAAAATATATTTCTATGCAAGCCCACTAACATCGCTTCTGATTTCCATTTCCAGGGACATTCTGGAAGCTTCGCCGCTGTCTTTTCGAAGGTGTGAGAAAATCTGCCGATGAAGTTTCTCTTGAAGGTTCAGTCCACGGTGACGCGTCGAGGTCAGAGCTCGAGCTGTTGTACACGATTAGCTTTATAAGTAACTGTCGCGTGTTATGTTTGTTCAAGTAAACTTTATTATTAAGTATAGATAAGGACAACAATCTCGATGGACGAACCTGTTTCCCACGTGACAGGATATTTATTTGTTGTAATGTACATAGGTGTTGAAGTTATGTATTCAGTCCAGCCCAGAATGATCGTCCGATCTAAATGATATTCAAGTAATTCCACTTGCCTGAAACTCCTTCGAACCCTCGCCCACCCTACGGTTCCCTCGTGTGTCCATTATATCTTCGTTTTTATACCTATAGTTTTTGTTCGGATACGGCAGTTGACGGTTACGGAAATGAATTTATAAACCAACCGGATAAAGATTATTTAACGAAATGTCACCAACGAATATATCGCCAAAGCACAGTAGATGTAAAAGCATTTAATCAGGAAAGCCTCGTCTCTTAGCGGTCGTGAAAGCCGTGGTTAGCATAATTACTGCGAGCTAGTACCACAGGCAACCGATTATTTGGCAGAAATTAACGAATTGTTAAATAATCAGGGGTCACAAATGAATGTAGGTAAATTTTTTTCATAAATTCCCTGAGACACATCAAAGTAACGTATGTAGATATTTGCTCTCCGTCCGATATCCCGGATTCTTTGTTCACGTCAGATACGTTCGACACATCGCTGCTTGTAATGCAACAGCATTTGGAAGTGACTGTCAATATTAGACATCGTTCATTAAATCAGTAACAGCAGTATGTTCTTTCTCAATTTTAACATGTCTCTTTCAACATTCGTTTAGTTTTGGTATACTTTTACATTTAAGGTCTTGCACTCTCCCACTCTTGTTACGTCTCTATCATATGTTCTCCCTTCTCTTTCTTGGATTATTTTTATTTTAGTCATCTAGCTCAAATTATACCTAGAAATGCTATGAGTCGTGATATTATCGCTTTGATAATTTGTTATTCCTTTGCTCAGTGTGAGTGTTGGACTCGACACCTCTCGTTCCATCTTGGGGTGGCTGCCCATAAGAGGTTTGAGGCAATTAAGACAGTGACGTATTGATGCGTAAGAAACGTCTATTATGTGTTTATGTTGTGTGTGTGTGTGTGTTTGTTTGTTTGTGTATGTGTGTGTGTGTGTGTGTGCTAGTGTATCCAATAGGCGGGTACACTACAGCAGAACATTGAATTTTTATTTTGACTCGTTTTTTTTTCTTATTGTTTTCTTTTGTATGGTCGGTGTTTTGTGGTTTTGTATTTTCTTCACCCGATATGAGTAGCGACTCGGAAGAGTCGCTACTCATATACCTTCTAAAGGACTCCTCCAAGGGAGGTGCGTGCGGTAGGTGGGTTATCCGAAAGGACACCACCTCAGGTGCTGGAGATAGCCAAGGCGGCTTTCGATTCGGAGATCGCCGCTGCGTCGCTGAGGGGCATCCCAGCGTAAACCCGACCCCGACAATCTTCCCCACCCTTGTGTAGGATCCAGAGCCCTCGGTGCCTACGCACAGGCGGAGACGGAGCCGAAACGCCGCATTGCTATTCCATTCCATTGTTATTCCATTGCCATTAATTAGTCAAAAAGGGGCGCCTCTCGTTCCATCTTAGGGTGCTGCCCTTAAGAGGTCGCAGCAGTTACCGCCATGACGTATTAACCATATTAAAAGACACCTATTTTTGAGTTTGTGTGTGGGCGTGCGCGCGCGTGTATGACTGCGTGCATGCATATGTTGTACGTCGAGGCACTTATTTGTTTGCATACAGAGTCTCTGGTTAGTACAAAACATTAGTTTAGTATACTTTTACATTTAAGGTCTTTCCCTCTCCCACTCCTGTTATGTCTCTGTCTCTGTTATATTTTCTCCTTTTTCTATGATTAGTTTAATTGGTCCGTTTAATTGTAATTGGTACGTTTTTTTTTTTGTTGTATTAATTTTGTCGGCGTTGTCATAACGGATACTGCAGGCTCTAAGGGGTGTTATTTTTATTATGGGAGTAGGTCGTTATGATAACTACCCTTAAATCTTTACTTATTTAACAGTCTTTATGTGACTTTTTAAAGATATTTTACTTTGTATTTGTATTAGCAAGGTAAACAGATTGCATTAATGACAGTACTGATTTGAGTATAAGAATTACATTTGTAATTAGACCTATAATATACCATGTACTCTACAGACACTACGGGATAATAAACTGCCACTTAAGCTTAACATCTCTTTATTTAATAGCTGCCCCCACCCTAGATTAAAGGTCTAGCGCTGACCGAGCTGTTCCAGGTAATTATTGTATTTGTTATTAGTTGTCTGTGTTCATTTAAGGTCAAGGCACCTGGCGCCCGAGATTATTAGCTTTGTTAGAATTTGTGTTGCCGCACCAGTTAGTTTATTCATTTATATGAACATAGACACGCATTAGATTACATTAACATTAACATAAAAAACAAAAATTTTTTTATTTTTAAATTACACTTCCTAACTTTTAAACTATCACGTTCTACAATATACTCGCTGTACCCTGCCACATTTCGCTGTGGCACACCGTATTTGTGTTGATGAGAA